GGCGCCGGTATTACCAGAACATTAACTGATATACAGGGTTCTGTATTTGACCAGACCACAACCGAAAACACTGTTAACAATGATCTTCAGTTACAGACCAATAAAGATTTTGGTGATTTCAGTACCAAAGGATTAATTGGCTGGAATATTTATGAGCGTAAGACAAAGGATGTAAACGTAAGTTCATCGTCTATTGTAGTGCCGGGTGTTTATAATGTATCTAACCGCCAGGGAGAACTGGGCGGTGGCGAAGGCAATACAGATTACAGGAAGTTTGGTTACTATGCGGATCTGCTTACCGGATGGAAAGACATGGTTTACCTGCACGGTACTTTCCGTTATGATGCCTCATCTAAGTTCTACAAACCAAACCGTGCTTCTAACTTGTATTCATATGCGTATTACGGGTTCGATGCATCGGTAATGCTGACAGAGCTGGTTCCGCAGATAAAAGGCAAGTTCCTGAGTTATGTAAAACTGAGGGCAGGCTATAATAAGAATGCCAATGATGGTTTGGGTGGAGCAGGGGTTATCTATGGCCTTGATCCTACCTACAGCAATGCAGGTGGATTCCCCTATGGCAATACGGTAGGCATCAGCGTAGGAGACGTACTGCCTGATGCCAACCTGAAACCGGAAATTGTAAAATCCTGGGAAGGTGGTGCAGATTTACAATTCCTGAACGGAAGGGTAAGTCTTGACCTTACATATTACAGCCAACGCAGCATTGGTTCTGTGGTAACAGTAAAAATTCCCAACACTACCGGTTACAGCAACCTGCGCCTGAATGTGGGTGAAACCAAGAACTGGGGTTATGAAACTGATCTGAGGTTACAGCTTATCCGTGCTAAAAAATTCAGCTGGGATCTGAATGTGCGTTATTCTTACAATGACAATAAAGTTATTGAACTGTATCCCGGCGTAGATGAGTTCAGCTACGGCGCCTTTTCTTATGCAGCGCCTTACGTAATTAAAAACCAGCCTTTCCCTGCATTAAAAGCCATCGCTTATGTACGTGACCCGGCTACCAATGCGGTAATTGTTGGCAAGGCTGATGGTTACCCGCTTACAACGGGGCCGCTGAAAAATTTTGGCCGCACCATTCCTAAACATATTTTAGGCTGGGGTACCACCCTTAAGTACACGGCGTTTGCATTGACTACCAATTTTGAATACCGTGGTGGCAATGTGGTGTACAGCGATCTTGGCCGCCAGATGACCTTCACCGGTTCTGGTAAATGGACAGAAAACCGCGATCCTTATGTGTTTCCCAATTCAGCCTATGATGACGGTACCGGTAAGTTTGTACCCAATACCAATGTTAATGTGCGCGAAGCAGAATATGCTTTATGGGCCGACAAATACCGCCTGATTGCAGAGAACTTTGTAACACCAGGTTGGTTTGTAAAACTGAGAGACATCAACCTGTCTTATACAATACCTGCAAACGCATTGTCTAAAATTAAAATATTCTCAGGCGCTGTAATTGCTTTGTACGGACGTAACCTGATTACTATTGTTGACAAAGCCAACGACTTTACTGATCCTGAATTCAGTTTCACTACGGATAATGGCCAGGGCGTTAATACAACTGCGCAGACACCACCTGTCCGCCAGTACGGATTTAACATCAACCTGACCTTTAAATAACTTTTTAATTTTATTACAGTATGAAACTTAAACATATATTACCAGTCATTCTGATAGGCATTGGGCTGTCCGGTTGTAAAAAAACATGGCTGGATATTAATACCAATCCCAACAGCCTTCCAACGTCAACGCCCGATTTTGTTTTCACCGCTGCATTAAACCGGATCAACGGCTATCTCGACCCCAATGAAACAGGTTCTTACTGGTCGGGCCAGTGGACGCAGTCAAGTACCTATATCATCAGTACTACCATTTTTGCCTACCAGTTTAACAATACCAATTTTAATTATTGGGATACCTATTATGATATCCTGAATGATTTTCAATTTGTGATTGATAATTCGGATGCCAAAGGCCAGCCTTACTTTAAAGGGCCAGCCAAAGTAATGAAGGCCTTTATTTTTCAGCAGCTGGTAGACCAGTATGGTAATGTTCCCTACAGCGCAGCATTGAAAGGCGTAACCAGCCTGGCACCAAAATTTGATGATCAGAAAGCTATTTACGAAGACCTGGTGAAGGTGCTGGATTCAGCCATCGTGGATACCAAAGCCAATGTATTTTCAGCAGCAGGCAAAAATGCGGATATTGTATTCAAAGGTTCCAACACCAACTGGGTGAAATTTGCCAACAGCCTTAAATTGAGAATCCTCATAAGGCAGAGCCGCATAGCCGGCAGGGATTCTTATATCACCACAGAAATCAATAAGGCTGCTGCAGTGGCAGAAGGTTTCCTGGGTATAGGGCAGGATGTAACATCCACTCCGGGCTATGTTTCCTCAGCAGGAAAACTCAACCCGTTTTATGAGCGTTGGGGATACAACTCTTCAGGTGGTGCACAGGCATTGGCGCGTTACCCGCGGCCTACCAAGTTCCTGTTCGATTTCCTGAAGTCTACCAATGATACGTTCCGGCTTAAGCGCCTGGCCTATGCAGCCGGCGGAGAAAGTACCACACCGGGCGTAAGCACCAAACCGGAAATTGTAGCCAATTATGTGGGTGTTCCATTTGGCGCCGCTTCCGGCTACCTTTCGCAGAATACCTCTTATCCCGGTCCTTCAGTTATTGTAAAAAATGAATTTGCCCGCCCAATGGTGGTGATGACTGCTGCAGAAAGCTATTTCCTGCTGGCAGAAGCTAAACAACGCTATGGCGCAGCAGTAACATTGCCTGCCAATGGCACAGACGGTACGGCAAAGGGTTACTACGAGCAGGGTGTTAAAGAAGCCTTCCGCTTAGACTTCACACAAACAACGCTTGGTGGTGTTGCATTAAGTTCTGCCAATACATTGCTGGCAAGCGGCCTTGATTTGGCCGACTGGAATGCTTCTCCTGATAAGCTGAAAGCTATCTGGATGCAAAAATGGCTGGCCCTCGTAAATTTCGGCGGCCTGGAAGCATGGAGCGAATTCCGCCGCACCAATTTCCCGGTAACACCAGAATCGGCTTCTGCACAAGCCGGTGCCAAACTGCCTGTCCGCCTCTTCTACCCAAGTACAGAGCTGGGTTCTAACGGCGAAAACGTAAAAGCACAGGGTACCATTGATGTATTCACCAGCAAACTGTTCTGGGACGTAGATTAATAAGCTTCTTCTTATAAATTGAATAAGGGCGCCACAAAAGGCGCCCTTATTTTTTCAGCATGTATTTGCGTAATAATTTGTAATTTCCTGTTACAAACCTTTCCTTGAAAAAGTTAACCTTAGCTCTCCCGCTACTGTTGGCAGGGTATTGTATATACTGCCAGCCCGCCCGTTCGCCATTGTTGGTACGGTACACTGCTGTGGGCGTTTACAGCAAAAATGTTACAGATGCTTTTTCGGGCACTATTAACCAGGCTTCGCTGGCGCAGCTGAAGTATACCACGGCCGGTGTGTATGCAGAACGCCGGTTTATGCTCAGGGAACTCAGTAGTTTTTCTGCTGCTATTGCTTTGCCCTCCAAACTGGGTGGCTTTGGCATTGCTGCCAGGTATTTTGGTGCGGAAAATTTTAATACCTCGCAACTGGGCATTGGCTACGGAAAGAAGCTGCATGATAAGATTGATATCGGTGTTCAGTTCAATTATAATATGATAAGGCTGGCAGGATACGGAAGCAGCGGCGTAATAAATATTGAAGCAGGTACCCTTATTCATCTTACCAATCAGTTGCACATGGGCCTGCATGTGTATAACCCGGTGGGCGGTAAGTTTGACAAAATGGGAAACGAAAAACTGGCGTCTGTATATACTGCCGGCTTTGGTTATGAGGTATCACCAGTACTTTTTATGAGTGCCGATATCAGCAAGCAGGAAGATCAGCCGGTAAACATTAATGCCGGTATGCAATATGTTTTTGCAGAACATTTTTTTGCCAGGATGGGCATTGCCAGCAGTACCGCTAATTATTTTTTAGGGTTTGGGTTGCAATGGAAAAGCTTCAGGCTGGATGTGGTCAGCAGCTGGCAGGCACAACTGGGTTTTACGCCGGGGATGCTGTTGCTGTTTAATTTTCATTCACCCGCACAAGCGCAGCAAGATTGAAGAATATATTGCTGCTATATTGTTTTTTGCTGCCGGGCGCCACCGCAGCTTGCCAGGAAAGGGAAAAAATAATGGAGACGGCAGAACAGCAACTGGAGAGCCTGGCAGAAACAGCTGCTGCGGCTATAGAAGATGATACTTATCTGCAGCAATTAGCTCATTTTAAAAAACATCCCCTTAATATTAATGCTGCCGGAGCAGATGAACTGATGTTGCTCTCAATACTGAATGCCTGGCAGGTAGAACAACTGCTTGCTTACAGGAAAATGCTCGGCAAGTTGATCAGCCGTTACGAGCTGCAGGCTATTCCTGGTTGGGATCCTGTTACCATAAAGCAGCTGCTTCCTTATATTACTGTAACAGATGACAAAACAATAGCAGAAAATATAAAAGAAAGATGGCGAGGCGGAGACCAGCTGTTATTGATCCGTTATGCGCGCATGCCCGAAAAAACAACAGGATATGAGACCCCCGCAACACCAGATGCCAATCACTACCTGGGCAGCCGTGACAAACTGATGCTGCGGTACAGTTACCGGTACAAAAATTTGTTGCAATGGGGATTGCTGGCAGAGAAAGATGCCGGAGAGCAATTTTTCAAAGGTGCACAACAGCAGGGTTTTGATTTTTATTCGTTCCATTTTTTTGCCCGCCAATTGGGGGTGGTTAAGTCGCTGGCACTGGGCGATTTTACCGTCAATTTCGGCCAGGGCCTGGTACAATGGCAAAGTCTTGCATTCAAAAAAAATGCAGCCGTAATGGGCATAAAGCGGCAGGCAACTGCTTTGCGGCCCTATAGCTCCGCCGGCGAATATAATTTTCACCGCGGTGCAGGCATCACCCTGCAAAAAAGAAAATGGGAAGCCACCCTGTTTGCTTCTTACCGCCGCATTGGTGCCAATGTGCAGGTTGATTCATTGACAGACGATGGAATAGCTTCTTCTTTTCTTACCAGTGGCTATCACCGTACAGCGGCAGAAAATGAAGACAGGAGCAGCCTTGGCCAAACGGCTGCCGGTGCCAATATTCAGTACAAAGCCAGCCGGTGGCATGCAGGTATCAGTGCCGTAGGATATCATTTTTCAAAACCCATTCAAAAATCACCAGCCCCTTACCAGCGCTTTGCTTTGCAGGGAAATCATTTTATCAATAGCAGTTTTGACTACAGTTATACCTGGCGCAATATTCATTTGTTTGGCGAGGCGGCCATCGATGGCCATCAGCATACAGCATTCCTGCATGGTGCCGTCATTAGCCTGGATACAAAGGCTGCAGTTTCGCTGCTGTACAGAAATATCAGCAGGGCTTACCAGTCTGTAAATGCCAATGCTTTTACTGAAAATGGATTGCCTGTAAACGAAAATGGTTTTTACGCGGCCATTTCGCTGCAGCCGGTAACGGTGTTAAGGCTGGATGCCTATGCAGATGTTTTCCAGTTTCCCTGGCTAAAATACAGGGTAGATGCGGCTTCTGGTGGCCGCGATTATTTGCTGCAGGCAACTTATACCCCCGCGAAGCACGTAACAGTATATGCCCGGTACAGGAACGAAGCAAAATTGATTAACAGGCAGCAAAATGGGCTGCCAATGGCCGGCACAGGCCCGGTGAAAAGGCAAACCCTGCGCGTGCATACCAGCATACAAATCAACAGCCAGTGTATGCTTCGCAACAGGGTAGAGCTGGTATGGTACAATACAGATGAACAGGCTACAGGCCAGGGCTTTCTCTGGTATGTAGAAGGCAGCTACAAGCCGGCCTTTGCGAAATGGCGTATTGGCGGGCGCATGCAATATTTTGAAACCAGCGGCTACAACGAAAGGGTATATACGTATGAAGCAGATCTCCCGTATAATTTTTCCATACCATTGTTTTACGGCAAAGGACTGCGGTATTACCTAAACCTGGGAAGAACGGATATACCCCTGGCCAGGCACCGGCAGCGGCCAACCACCCTGGATATCGGCCTAAGGTGGGCGCAAACTATTTACCCTGGAAAAACTTCTACCGGGTCGGGCCTTGACGAAACCAATGGCAATCACCGCTCAGAATTAAAAGTCCAACTTATCTTGATGCGATGATTTTTAGAAAATTTCTTGCAGCGTTATCATTTTGAGGCCTGTCATTAAAAAGTAGTTAATTAATCATGCTTTTAACGAATTATTTACAAAAGTTAAATGCATGCGATAATTTTACGCCTCTCTGAAAAATTAAAACTATAAGCGTATGAGAAAATTGTGTATGTTCTTATGTATGCTGTGTTTGTTTGCCACAACAGCATTCTCACAAACCAGGGCAATCACTGGAATAGTGAGGGACGCAAAGGGAGATCCCGTTCCTTTTGCCAGTGTTAAAATTAAAGGTGGAAAAACAGGTGTGTCGGCCGATGCCAATGGTCAGTTTTCCATCAATGCAAAACAGGGCGATGTGTTGGTAGTATCTGCTACAGATATTACGGCAAAGGAAATCACCGTAGGCGCAGGCAACAGCGTAGAAGTATCTGTTGTTAGATCACAGGCCAGTCTTAGTGAAGTGGTGGTAACAGCTTCCGGTATTCGCCGGCAGGACAAAGCGCTGGGATATGCCATCAGCAAAGTTGACCCCGATGCGTTATTGCAGAAATCTGAGCCAGATATGTTAAAAAGCCTGCAGGGCAAGGTGGCCGGTGTAGACATCAGGTCTTCACAGGGTACACCGGGTGCCGCTACCCGTATTCAAATCAGGGGTAATTCATCTTTCCAGAGTACACAGCCGCTGATTATTGTGGATGGTGTACCTTATAGCAATACGCAGCTCACTACCAGCAGCCAGACAAGCGGCGGTACAGCTTATGGCAGCGGTATTGCCAACCTGGACCCCAATGATATTGCTTCTATGAACGTACTAAAAGGCGTAGCCGCCTCTTCCTTGTACGGCTCAAGGGCCGCCGCAGGGGTGGTGGTAATTACTACCAAATCCGGAAGCGCGTCAAGAGGTAAAAAAGGCGTGGGTATTAATGTAAGATCTTCAGTATCGTGGGAGAATGTAGCCAACCTGCCCAAATACCAGAACGATTACGGTACCGGTGCACAGTTTGGTTATTCCAACTCAAACGGTTCCTGGGGCCCAGCTTTCAAAAACCTGGATTCTATTCCTGCCTGGCCCGATTACAAGGCAGCTTATCCTGAGCTGTTTCCCTCCGCCAATATTAAATACAGGGCTTATCCCAATAACGTAAAAGATCTTTTCAAAACCGGTATGCTCTATGAAAATTCTGTGGGCCTCACCGGAGGTGATGACAAGAGCTCAGTAGCCCTTACCCTGTCTAACCTTAGCCAGAGTGGTTATGTAGAAAACTCTGATTATGGAAGAAACAATATTGGTTTGGGCGGGCAGACTAAATTAAAAGACTGGATCACCGTGGGTGGAAACTTCAGCTATACCCGTTCCAAGCAAAAAGGTGGCTATTTTGGAGAAAACCAGGTAGACGGTGCTTCTTCGCTGTTTGCAAGAACCCTGTTCCTGGGCCGCAACTGGGATTTGAATCTTCCCTACCAGGATAAACTGGGCAAGCCCCTTACTCCTAATGGTGGTGGTCAGTTTGATAACCCGCGCTGGGCTGCGTTGAATAATGTGGCTACTACCTATGAAGAAAGAACTGTAGCTGGTGCCCGCGCTGAAGTGAAAGTAAACAGCTGGATAAAAATCAATTATAATTTCGGTGCCAATACAAGCACCATCAACCGTAAGGAAATTACCGAAATCAACTCGCGTGCTGCTTCCGGTTTGGGAAGATTGATAGTGGATAATTACAGGCTGCAGGAGCTGGAGTCGGTGCTGTTGCTGACACTTAATCCCAAGTTAAACGAGGATTTCGATCTAAGGGTCATACTGGGCAACGAAATCAACCAGCGTACTACTACCCGGGAAGTAAACCAGGGAGATCAGTTTATTGTGCCTGGCCTCTATACATTGCCGAATACAAAAACACAGGCTTTTGGAACAGATGCTTATTCACGGAGAAGATTGCTGGGGTATTATACAGACATAACCCTTGGGTATAAAAATTATGCATTTCTGAACGTTTCCGGAAGAATGGATAAGTCTTCTACACTGCCGGTAAAGAACAATACTTATTTCTATCCGCAGGCTTCTTTGTCGCTGGTGTTTACTGATGCGTTTAACTTGAAAACCAGCTGGCTTGATTTTGGTAAAGTAAGGGCTTCCTGGGCAAGGGTGGGTAATGATGCCAACCCCAACTCTATTGAGGATGTATTTGTTGTGGGCACTAATTTTCTTGGGCAGCCAACAGCCTCCAGATCCGGTACCACCTATGATCCTAATTTAACACCAGAATTTACCAATGAAATAGAACTGGGAACCAACCTGTCTTTCTGGAAAAGAAGGATCAACCTTGATCTGTCAGTGTACCGTAAGATCAGTACCAACCTGATTGCGCCCGTGTCCTTACCGGAGTCTGCAGGTTACACCCAGCTGTATACCAATTTTGGCGAAATCAGCAATAAGGGTATCGAAATTGATTTAACAGTAAGACCTATTCAGACCAAATCATTTACATGGGACATCCATGGGGCTTTCACCAAAAACAAAAATATTGTTGTAAAACTTAAAGAAGGTATTGACCGCTTTGCTACAGGGGGCGTATTAACTTCTATTTCTCCTTATTTTGAAGCAGGCATGCCTTATGGCTACCTGCGTGGTACCAAATCTTTACGGGATGCCAATGGCAACCTGCTGATCAATCCCGCTACCGGTGGTATGATTGTAGCCGATGACCAGGGAATGATTGGAGACCCCAACCCGGATTACAAACTGGGTATTACCAACAGCTTCTCCTACAAAGGTTTTTTCCTGAATGCCTTGTTTGATATGACCAAGGGAGGCGATTTGTATTCTGTAACAGTAACTTCAGAATTGGGCAGGGGTGTAACACAGGATACCAAAGACAGGGAAACCTCCTGGGTAATACCTGGAGTATACGGAGACCCCAATACCAAGCAGGCCATACTGGTGGGCGGTAAAACAGTACCCAACCAGACCCGTATAACTACCAATGATTTGTATTTTTCTCCCAATGCCAACAACGGTGCCACTTTTGGTATCAATACCGCTACAGAATGGAATGTGTATGATGCCACGGTGTACCGCCTGCGCGAAGTAACACTGGGTTATGAATTGCCTAAAAAATTGTTTAAGAAATTGCCCTTTAACACTGTTACTGTAAGCATGAGCGGAAGAAACCTTTGGTTCCTGGCGCCCAATTTCCCTAAGTACAGCAATTTTGATCCTGAAGTAAATTCTTATGGTGCAACGAATATTCAGGGTATTGAACTATCTGCGGCGCCTACTACACGCAGGTATGGTGTTAACCTGAATGTTACTTTTTAAACAAGAAATAAATTATTTGTATGACAACATATAAGTTAAACATATTTAAAGTCATTTTACCTTCCGTGCTGCTGCTGGGTTCGTGTAAAAAGTTTCTGGATGTAAACCAGAACCTGAATAACCCCGTTTCAGTGCCGGTATCTACTTTATTGCCGGATGCAGAAAAAAACCTGGGCAATATGCTTTCTATAGGCAGCGGCTTGTCGCAGGACCTGGCCGTGTACACACATCAGATGTCTACCCGTGAAGATCCGGATCAGTATGGTGTAAACGGAGGTGATTTTTATTTGCAGAATGCCTGGTCTACTTTTTATGACGGTACATTGATCAGCCTCGAAGAAATTATCAAAAGTGCTACGCCCGCAGGTAATTTCAAGTACGCCGGCATCGCTAAAATCTTAAAGGCCTACAGCTACAGCCAGTTTGTAGATGTATTTGGTGATCTGCCATTTACAGAAGCCAATAAATTTAAGGAAGGAAAGCAGTTTGCCAAATTTGATGCAGCAAAAGATATCTATCCGGCGCTGATAGCATTAATCAATGAGGGTATTGCCGACCTGAACAACACCGCAGCAAATCCAAAATCGCCTGCTGCAGACGATGTGATCTACCAGGGCAGCGTAACCAAATGGATTAAAGCAGCCAATACCATCAAACTAAAACTGTATACACAGGTAAGAAAGGTGCAGAACGTGCAGGCAGATGTAACCGCCCTGCTGGCTACACCGGCCAACCTGATTAATTCCACCGCCGAAAGTTTCCTGCTGCCTTATGGACCACTGGGCGCTACAGACGACAGGAACCCCGGTTTTGGTGACTATACCGCTACCCAGCGCAGCAATCATATCAGTCCCTGGTTTTATGAAATATTGAAAGGCTATAATCCAAATATTTTCAAAAGCAATCCTGATCCACGCGTTCCTTATTATTTCTACAACCAGATGCGGGCAAACACAGCTCCCAGGGAGGGCAACCAGACAGAATACAGGGATGGTGCTTTTGTGTCTATCTATTTTGGTTCTGTAGGACCAGACAGGGACCGTAACCAGCAGGGTACCATCAGCGTAATGGGTATTTACCCAGTGGGTGGCCGCTACGACCAGGGTGATGGATTGAATGTTGGTGCTACCAGTGGTACGGGGGCCGCTCCTTACCGTTTCATTACTTATGCAGACAGGCTTTACCTGGAAGCAGAATTAATCAGTACAGGCCTGGCAACCGGCGATGCAAAAGCAAAACTGCAGGCTGCTATAAAAGAGTCTTTCAGGCAGGTAGACTATGTAATAACAACCTACGTAAAGCCAACGCAGGTTGTTCCTTCACTGATTACTACAGGCGCTGATACTGCCTATACCACCAAAGTGCTGGCCGAGTATGATGCTGCTTCCCCCGATAAAAAACTGGAGATTATCATGACGCAGAAATGGATTTCCAATTATGGCAATGCAGTTGATCAGTATACCGATTACCGCAGAACCGGTTATCCCGTACTGTTTGATCCTAAAAATGCCAGCATGGCGCCGGGTGGCAAAGTGCAGCCTCCTATCAATGGAGACCCTGTAAATCCGGGTGCGCAGAAAGCTGTACCTGTTCAGCTAAGCCTCACCTATCCTTTTTCACTGCCCTGGTCTACTTCAGAGCTGGAAAAGAACCAGGCGGCCCCTGCACAAAAGAATCCCCAGAGCTATAAAATTTTCTGGCAACCCTGATGATCTAAACAAAAAAATTACAACATGAAACGCATATTATTATACAGTGTATTAGCGACCGTTCTGTTTGCGTCCTGCCGCAAAAGCGATAATTCAAAACTGCCTGATTTGAGCAGGGTGCCGGTGCCGTTGATTAAAAAGGATGCTTCCGCCAGCGCTACCATCGATGGCAATGCTCCTAATAGCTTTACCGGCAAGGTAACCGTAGATTTATTTTTTAAAGACGATACAAAGCCGGCCAAGTTTGATATTGTGGCCATCAAAAACGGTAATAAGTCTATCGTTAAAGTAATCCAGGCCGGTGTTACCAGTTTCCCTTCCACCGTAACCATTACCGGTTTACAGCTGGCTACTTTGTTTGGTAGTCCCATTGTACTGGGAGATAAATTTGATATTGGCGCCGATGTATACACACAGGGTGGCCAGAAATTTGAAGCATTTCCGCTGGTGGGTGCGGGTTATGGTGCGGGCGTGGCCAACCAGCCGGGCGCCAGTACATCTGTAGCCTATAGCGCCGTATGTCCTTTTACTATGAATGATTTTGTGGGTGCCGCTACAGTGGACGACCCTGATTTCTGGGGTGCTACTTATCCTGTAACAGTGTCACTGGAAAGTGCAGACACTTACAAGGTGCTGGGATGGATAGAAGAGCCATCCTACTACATATTGATTAAAATAGACGCCGCAGCCTTAACCGCCACCGTTACCAAGCGTGTATACGGACCTACACTGCCTACAACACCTTATACAAACCCAGCTGCAGAAGGAACAGGTACGGTTGATGCATGTACAAAGACAATTACCCTTAACCTTACCAATACGGTTACACAGGGCTCGTTTGGCGGAGCCGTAATTACGCTGAGTAAATAAAAAATACTTACACATTACATTACCAGGTGTACATACCGCCTGCATAACAAAAGAGGCTGTCTAAAACCCATAAGACAGTCTCTTTTTTTTATAGCCATTCCTGGCAGGGTAAAATTCGGTTATTCGTTGCTCCCGGCTAAAGTCATTTTTTCTTTTGCGAAAGGCTTTCCACAAAAATCTAAGGAGGCAGAAAATGCGGAAAATTGCTTTGCAGGTTTGCAAAAGCCTTTGCACTAAATGCGGAGACGATAAAAAATACGGGAAATGTTTTGCAGACTTGCAAAAGACTTTGCCGTAAATGCG